TCAACAATTTTAAGCATCATTTTCGTTCTCAGTGACCCAGAATTAGTAAAGTTTGACTACATTTATTTCAGAAGCATTTTGGCTGTAGAGCAGTGTTATCAGAGCTTTACTGAATATAATAGAGCTCTGAATTTATATCAGCTAAGGATCTGTCCCCACATCTTCAGTGGTCAGGGCAGGTGAGAGATTTGGAAAGGGGTTCGCTCCCTTTAAATCTGGTCTCCTACTTTAACATCTGTGAAATAAAGTTTTCTGATATTTGTCAAAAAACCTTAAAATGTCAGTTAAAATTGCTCAGATGCACATACGCAACTTTTCAGAGTAAGAGATTAAAAGTTAAGGCCAAGGTTTTCAAAAGTGGCTAGTGAATGTGGGTGCCCAGCTCCAGATATGGCGCACCCATCCTCTGAAAAACAAGCTTAGCACTGTGTGAAAAAAGTCAGGCTTCTTTTAGATGTCTCAGAGTCACAAGCCACCTTTGAAAAATCTTGGCCAACATGATAAAGGTCTGCTCAACATCTCCAATGATTTTCAAAAAACCTTTAAAAAGAAAAAGAAATATACAGGACCTAGCACAATAAAACTCCTCTCTCAATTGGGACCTCTAGGAGCTAACAATTTCAATCATTAGGATTTCTTTCAATTGTATATGCCTGCCTACATATTTTTCAAAATAGTTTTGCACGCAACAGCTCCCACTTTGGTACCTAAATAGGGCCCTAATCTCACAAACTTTATTTTAAGCACAATAGGTCATGTACTGTATAAAGGGCTCGAGGGGCTTGTCTGGGGACAAGATTGTTTAATAAAAATACATTTTATATGCGGTTTTGAGTGTTTTAATTAAATTCCAGTTACCATCCTAATGCAGCTTAACACAAGTCGCCAGCAAAAAGTTAATTATCTAGTAAATAGTCCCCTTGACTTCAATTATGCCCATAAATTTAAGCACACGATTAAATGTTTGCAGGGCAAGAGCTTAAATCAGGCCTATTTAAATATCTATGCAACTTTAGCACCCTCCTAGCCAAGCCAAGAAAAGGTGCACACAGGAACGCAGCAGTGAAACTCCCTTCTACCCAGGAGACGCCTGTTCCAACCCACCCCATACACACAAAATGAATGTACACATGGCATGCATACCAGAATAGTACAATGGGTATAGGAAACTGCATTATTTACAGAGGGATTGAATGGAGAAAAATGGGATGGGGGAGCAATAAAAACAGGGTTACATCCAACACTAGGCCCTACAAAACGAGAGGTTAAACTCCAAGCAATGAGTCTACACTCAGAGTTTTGGAATTCTGGGCAGAGTTCTAGTCCAGCAATGAGTCTTGGGTGCTCCTGGTCATCTTCAGCACCAGTAAACTTTCCCCAAGCCCCTCCAGTGCCCACTTCTGTCACTCTCTGCAAACCAACACAGAGCAACAACCTCCCCAGTTGGCTAGCTCCAGCCTCCCTCCTTATTCCCAATGCAAGGTAACAAACCCCAGTACTCACCACCCCATAGAGCTCTTCGTAACAGAGATACTGGGTCCAGCTCTCATTTGTCCTTCTCGGGTAGTTCCTCCCTGGCTCGGTGCTCCTCCTGGCTCCTGTCCTGGGGTGTCTCCAGTTGGCTGCTTCAGGCTGGGCCTGTTCACTTTTGATCCCCTTACCTGGAGCTATAGAGACACATCTTGTCACTCTCCCCACTCCCTTTGAAGAATCCCCAAACAGCTAGGTGTGGCCCAGCGCATGATCTCCCCCTCCTCCCCCCCGATGGCCCCCGTCCCGATTGCCCCCTGCTGCCCCATCCAACCCCTCCTCTCCTTCCTGACTGCCCCCCCCCCCCGGCAGGACCCCTGCCCCCATTCAACCCCTGGTCCCCACCCTCTGACTGCCCCAATCCCTATCCACACCCCTACCCCCTGCCCACCACCCAACCCCAGGATAGGCACCAGGATAGGCAGCTGTGCCGCCCGGCTGGAGCCAGCCACGCTACATGTAGCACAGAGCACCGGGTCAGGCTGCATTGCCTCAGGAGCTTGCAGCCCTGCTGCCCAGAGCATTGCGGTGGTGGTGCAGTGAGTTGAGGCACTGGGGGAGGGGGGGCAGCAGGAGAAGGGCTGCGGGCTAGCCTCCTGGGCCAGGAGCTTAGGGGCTAGGCAGGAGGGTCCCATGGGCTGGATGTGACCTGCAGGTCGTAGTTTGCCCACCTCTGATCTTGACCAAGCCTCTCACCTGACTTAAAAAACAGGAGTACTTGTGACACCTTAGAGACTAACTAATTTATTTGAGCATAAGCTTTCGTGGGCTACAGCTCACTTCTTCGGATGCATAGAATGGAACTCACACACACACAGGTGGGAGTTGCCTTACCCACTCTAAGAGGCTAATTAATTAAGAGGAGCTGTTTCTGTGATTCCTGATCCCTCCCTATCAGATAGGCTGATAATCATTTGTTGGGATGAGTAATGGAGGTGGTCTTGGAGATAATCTGAGGAGAGAAAGCAGAATGATTCTTTAGAGGATTCAATGATATAATAGAGAATCAAGACAGCTTAAAATTTCTGTTTGAGCAAGAGGGAGGACACGGATAATACTTATCTAATCAGTAAGTGCTCAGTCTGTCTATTCACTGAAGGGATGTTCCTGCAAAAGGAAGTAACAAGGTTACTAAGCAAAGTTCCTGAGGATCAATTCAAGTAGCCCACAATAAATCTGAAGATGCTTTCCAAAGCATGGTGAGGATGCTTACATCCATTTCAGAAGCTGAATTTACAGTAGAGACAATAAATTAGAGCCCTGCAAATCTGTGGATATCTGCTTGATATCCACGGACCATGTTTGCATATCACAGATGGATGTGGATACAAATTTTCTATCTGTGCAAGGCTCTAGCAGTAAGCAACACCTGCTATGTTCACATAATCAGTCATAGCAGACCTAGGAATAGAACCCAGGCAACCAGACTCAGTCCAGTGTTTTAACTATTCTAAAAACAAAACTCCCCCAAAGCTGGGTTTCAAATGTGTGCTCTGACCACTAGACCTCACTCCCCCACATCTGGGGAAAGAACTCAGTAGTCCTGGGGACCATCCTCCTTTCAGAAAAAAATAAAATCAGTTTCTCCTCCCCAGCAACATACAAGTCAGCTGCTACTTTAGAAGTCAAGTTGTTTGCGCTCTAGTCTCGATGGGCACTTCACCTGGGGAAGACGGAGAGAGAAATATGGTTCCTTCCTGTTTTATCTTTCCTATACATCATCTTAAGGGAAATTTAATTTCAAAGGGATTCCCCCCTTGCCTGAAAGGTAAATGCAGTGAAAAGAGGGGATGTGTAGGGAAGTTTTTGCCACTAATAAGAAACAGGACAGATGCCAGTCTCAGGAATATCCCATCATCCTCCAAAAGGGTCTTGTAGCAGAAGGGAGCCCAGCTGTGAAATTGAGATTTGGACATATCCTCATTCAAATTAAAAGGAAGATAAGTGCACAACAGAGCCCTAACCAGTTAGTTTGGTCACGTAGGCACTACTGAAAAACAAAAAATTATGTAACCAGATCCCCTAAACTTGCTTTGAAAGCCTCAACCTCAGCCTTGTGTGCCAACTCCGGATGTTCCAAGTACTAGGATACTTGGTGATCTCATCAGATATGGTCACACAAGTGGGCTTCAGAAATCTGGCAACTAATGACCTAAAGAGCACAGAAAGAGACTAACATCCTGAATAGGTTTCCTGTATCCATTTGGAATACTTTAGTCAATTTGTGGAATTGCTACAAGGCAGACACCACAAAATCCAGGAAAGCTTTGCTGCTCCTCTCATTAGATACAAGAGATCTACATTGTAGCAATGCTCATCATCCGTGATTAACTTGAAAGTGCAACTTCAATTCATCCCCCTAATGAAACACAACAGAACGATATACAGAATCTAACAGCAGGTGGCTAAGCTTCAGAGGCTGCACTCCACAGTTGATTGTTCTATACAATTTGGCATACATACGTCAAGGGAGAGTGCTTTGGGAAAACCAGTTGTAGGAGTCTGCAGTGGAGGTCTACAAACGTCGGGCAACTGCCTTGCTCTCACACAGCTGTGTGGAGTGGCAAACACTTCCACAGGACAAGACATTCATTTCTCTCCCAAAGTTTAATGTACCCAGAATTGTTCCTTCCCACCATAAGACTGCAACTCTCTGATCCAATTCAGATACCCTTGCCAAACTTTAAGCCTATGTTCTTAAGAAAGTGAAGAAAGGCTTCAGAAATGGCTTAAGCTGCCCGGTCCTCCAAGGTAAGTAAACCAGTAGTTACAGAAAATTGTTGCAATGTTTCTTGAAGTATCAAATGACGACAGCTGCCCAATCACAGCAATATCAGCGCTTTCATCCTTGAGAAAATAGTCTGAGCCCTGGTCTCCCATTACAAAGTTGTCAGTATAAGTGTGTCACTCAGGGGTGTGGAAAATGCACACCCCTGAGGGATGCAGTTATACAGGCTGATCTCCCGGTGTAGACAGTGCTATGAAGCCCTCCTGTTGACACAGCTAGCACCTCTTGGGACGGGGGAAATATCTACACCCATGGGAGAAGCTCTCCTGTTGGCATAGGTACGGTCTTCAGTACGCTGCAGCTCTCAGCATAGTTAAGCAGAGTCACCTCTATCCTTCAGGAAATCGGAGAATGTGCAGGGTGCTGTCACTTTGACCAGAGCTACTTGATGTCCTTCTCCAAGGTTGAGTTGATGTCCTCCAAATAATCCATATCTTGCATATCTGCGTGGCATGCCATAAAAGCAAACCACTTTCAGTTCAACCCGATGCACTAAAAACAGCAGTAGTAAGCCTGCTGGGAGCCATACTAACCCCAAAGTCAGTCAAGCACATTGAGAAAAAAAATGAAAACATGATTTATCTTCTGCTTCTCCGTCTTTATATGCTGCACAAGATCTACATGGTGGACATAAGGGCACATTTACAGAATTTGCAGCCATCCAGACCAACATCCCCAACCACAAGGATGATCCATTGTTTTAGGTCCTTCTCTTCCTACAATTGCTTACAGTGTCTTTTCCCATATTTGAACCGTTTGCTTGAAAGTGGTGTGGATTTTGAACCACAAAAAACCATTACAGAAAGTTGAGAGCGTGTGTGTGTGTGTGTGTGTGTGTGTGTGTGTGTGAGAGAGAGAGTGAGAGAGCGTGAGCGAGCGGGGGGGAATGGAATTGATATAAGCAACACATCTCGAAGAAAAGTTAAAACAGTTACTCACCTGTTTCTTCTTCAAGTGCTTGCTCATATCGATTCCAGTTAGGAGACTCCTTAGCCTTACCTTGGAGGTGGGGTCGGAGTCAAGGTATTGCAGATTGAAGAATTGCCCTATTGAAGGCCGCATCATCACGAGAGTGTTGGACGATGGCGATGTGAAGGTGTGCACCAAGGCCCATGTGGCAGCCCTGCAGATCTCTTGAAGGGGAACGTTTTCCAGAAAGGCTGCCGATGATAGCGGAGTTCTCGTAGAGTGGGCCGTGACAGCAGGCGGAGGAACGTTTGCTAGGCTGTAGCAAGTACAGATACATGCGGTGCTCCATGAGGATATCCGCTGGGAAGAGACTGGTGCGCCTTTCATCCATTCCGCGATGGCCACGAACAACTGGGTTGTCTCATGAAACGGCTTTGTGTGATCTATATAGAAGGCGAACGCCCTTCTAACATCTAGTAAGTGCAGGCGTTGTTCCCGAAGGTCGGAATGTGGTTTCAGGTAAAAAAACTGGCAGGAAAATATCCTGGCTTACATGGAAACGGGATACTACTTTTGGTAGGAAAGCTGCATGAGGTCTCAGCTGAACCTTATCCTTATGAAAAAATGGTATAGGGCGGTTCACACATGAGAGCCCGTAGTTCGGAAACCCCACGAGCCGAAGTGATGGCCACTAGGAAGGAGACCTTCCAGGAAAGGTAGAGGAGTGAGCAGGAGGCCAGCAGCTCGAAAGGAGGACCCAATAAGGTAGGAAAGAACCAGGTTAAGGTCCCAGGCCGGTACGGGTGGCTTCGTCAGAGGATGGATCTTTTCAAGCCTTTCAGGAAGCACTGCACGACTGGATGTGTGAACACCGAGCGCCCGTCCGCTCCTGGGTGGAATGCCGAAATGGCTGTGAGGTGAACCTTAAGGGAGCCAAAGGCTAGGTGTTGGTCCTTCAAGTGCAGCAGGTAGTCCAGGATGCAGGGGATTGAAGCTTGGAGAGGGAGCACCTGCCGCTGAGCGCGCCAGATGGAAAACCTCTTCCGTTTAGCTTTGTAAGTAAGCCTAGTAGAAGGCTTGCGGCTTTCCAGGAGCACCCATCTTACTGAGTCTGAACAGGCATACTAAAGCCTGGTCCCCACTTCGGACTAAGGTACGCAAATTCAGCTACGTTAATAATGTTATTAACGTAGCTGAATTCGAAGTACCTTAGTCCAAACTTACCGCAGGTCCAGACGCGGCACGGAGGCTCCCCCGTCGATGCCGCGTACTCCTCTCGGCGAGCTGGAGTACCGGCATCGACGGCGAGCACTTCCGGGATCGATCCCAGATCATTAATTTCCTGCCGCTGGACCCTCCGGTAAGTGAAGACGTACCCTCAGCTTGGTTCAACCATGGATCCTCCAGGCCATGAGGTGGAGTGACTGAAGGTCCGGGTGCAGGAGATGACCGTGGTTCTGCAATACGAGGTTGGGGCTGAAAGGTAAGCGCAGGGGGCCCCCCCCAAATCGACAGGTCCAACAGGATGGGGTACCAGCACTGATGGGGCCAGGCTGGAGCCACCAGGATGACATCCGCCTTGTCCCGGCGGACCTTGAGGAGCACCCTGTGGACCAGTGGAAAAGGCAGGAAGGTGTAAAGTAGTTGGCCGGACCACATGATCAGAAAGGCATCCGCAATCGAGCCAGGGCTGTGGCCTCAGAAGGAGCAGAAGGCTGAGCACTTCCTGTTGGTCCACGAAGCGAACAGGTCCATTTGGCGAAATCCCCAGGTGTGGAAAACAGAGTGCATGATGTCTGGACTAATCGACCATTTGTGCGTAAGGAAGCGTCTGCTCAAACTGTCCACCAGTACATTCTGAATGCCCGGCAGATATGAAGCTTGAAGAGTGATGGAGTGGGCTAAACAGAAGTCCCACAGAAGAAGGGCTTCTTGGCAAAGTGGCGATGTCCGGGCTTCGCCTTGTTTGTTCAGACAAGGCATGGCCATGGTGTTGTCTGTTAGGACTGCCACACAGCGGTCTTGTAAGCGGGGAAGGAACGCTTGGCACGCGAGGAGGATCGCAATGAGTTCCTTGATATTGATATGCAGGGTTAGCTCATTTTCCTGCCATAAACCCTGCGTTGTTAGGTTCCCGAGGTGTGTTCCCATCCCAGCACAGATATGTCCATAACTAGAGTCAGGGTGGGTTGAGGAGGATGGAACAGGACCCCGGCACCCACCATATGGGGATCCAGCCACCAGCGCAGGGAATCAAGCGTGTGGCTTAGGACCATGAGCACCCCCGGTCGATACACTGATGCTAGCCATGTCTGTAGGGGCCTGAGTCTTAGTCTGGCATGTTGTACCATGTAGGTGCAGGATGCCATGTGACCCAGCAACTTGAGACACTGCCTTGCTGTGGTGGTTAGGAATCTGCAGAGATTGGTGATTATGTTCGCCAGAGCCAGACCTCTGGGAGGAAGGCCCGTGCTTGGTTCACGTCCAGGACTGCCCCGATAAACTCTATTGTCTGGGTCAGGAGAGGACAGACTTGCTGACATTCAGCATGATGCCCAAGTGATTGAACGTTTCTGTGACCATTTGTACCTGATATTAAACTTGTTGATGGGACCGGCCCCATATAAGCCAGTTGTCGAGGTATGGGAAACACGTGTACATGATGTCAGCGAAGAAAAGCTGCCACGACTGCCATACATTTGGTGACGACGCAAGGGGCTGTGCACAAGCTGAACGGGAGGGCTGTGAACTGAGGGTGCATAATGTGCACCACGAAACGGAGAAAACGTCTGTGGGACAGGTAAATCGAGATGTGAATGTAAGCGTCTTTCATATCGAGGCGGCATACCAGTTTCCCAGAGCCAGTGAGGGGATAGTTGTGGCCAAGGAGACCTTGCAGAACTTCGGGAGCTGCTCAAACACATGATCAACCTGGAGGTCCAAGATGGGCCTTAGGTCTCCTTTTGCCTTGGGAACAAGGAAGTAACATGAGTAGAACCCCTTGTCCCTAAAGCTCTTGAGGTACTTCTTCCACTCCTCCTAGGGCAAGGAGAGCTTGTACCTCTTGGATGAGAAATTGCTCGTGAGAAGGGTCCCTGAAGAGGGACAGGGAAGGAGGGCGGGACGGAATGGAAGTGGATAGAATATCCCGCCTCTACCGTGCAAAGGAACCAACGGTCCAATGTAATGAGGGACCAGGCACAGTAGAAACAGGATAGGCGGTTCAAAAAGGGATAACTGTCTGGGTTGTGAACTGGTAGTTTGTCTTCAAGTGCACCTTCAAAATGGATTCTTAGGCCCAGAGGGGCTTGGATTGCCCTTGACCCTGCTCAGTGGAAGGGCGTGGTGGTCTATGCCAAGAGTATCCGTTTCTCCTACAGGAGAAGTCCTGCCTGGGTCTAGATAGGAAAGGGCGCTGTTGGGTTGGCTGAGGTATAAACGGCTTTCTTTGAGTTGCCAGGGTATGCATGCCCAAAGATTTAATAGTGTTTCTTGTGTCTTTCAAGGTATGCAGACAGGAATCAGTTTGCTTGGCGAATAGACCTTGGCCATCAAAAGGAAGATCCTGGAAGGTATGTTGCACTTCAGGTGAAAGACCCAATAACTGGAGCCAGGCGTTCCGACACATGGCGATGCTGGATGCCAAAGTGTGTGCTGCTGCGTCCGCGGCATTGAGGGAACCTTGGAGAGAGGTACGAGCTACTAACTTACCCTCCTTGGCGATGGCCCCCAGTTCCATACGAGCCTCAGATGGGAGATATTGGAACTTAAGGACTGCAGACCACGAGTTATGGTTATATCTACTGAGAATCACCAGTTGATTAGCAATTCTGAGTGAAAGGCCACCAGTAGAATAAATTTTTCTGCTAAAGAGGTCCAGGTATTTGGCCTCCTTTGATTTAGGGGATGGCCCTGCCTCTCCTTTGCATTCACCGTGTCCCCCACTTGAACAATTAGGAGCCCAACTACCCCCGCCCCACCTGGTTCCCGACTTCCCCATCCCAAACACAAATCCTCTTTTCACTGCAACACGAATCAAATTCCTTGAAACTGACCTGGACCAGTCCGCACCTCCCTCCTGGCTACCCCAGCTGGCTGCCTCGGACAGGCTCCCAGAGAATCGGACACTGGAGACCCAGCCCAACAGAGATGTGTTTTATGGGGTCTGTACCAGTAAGAATTCCAGGGATGTTCCCTGCCCAAGATGAGGGTGGGACGGGGGACTAGCACAGCTCAGAGCATCTTATCCTGTGAAGAGTATTAGGAGCCAAGTGCTGTAATTCTCAGTAACATAAAATGGCCACATGGTGGCACCTAAACCTCAGAAATGGAAAGACCTCTGAGGTTAAGACAGTGGTCCCCAAAATCTCTGGGGGGGGGCCTCCCACCCACAGTGAGCCCAGGTCACTGTGAGGGTGTGCCACCCAGCTCCATTCTGCCTCCAGTTCTGCTCCAGCCCCAGCTGCCTGGACACAAAGTCCAGCTACTTGCAGTAACCTACTTCCACGACCAGGCCAGCAGGAAGAACGGCTGTTCCTGGATCCTGGAAGAGCACTCTCTAAAGGCTCCAGAAAGAGAGAGAGAGAGAGAGAGAGAGAGAGAGACAGACACACTGGCAGCTCCCTGGTCCTGCCCGGAGCATGGCTCCACCTCTGTGCCCCCATCAACCTCCTCCATCCCCAGAACACAGCTCCCCTGTTCTGGCCCACTCACCCCCAGCCTTAGCTGACAGGGAGCATGGACTGGGTAAGGCAGGGCATGACTAAAAAAAAGTTTAGGGACTACTGGGTTAAGAAATGAGCTTAAAAGGTTCACCACCAAAGTCACCCTTTAAAGAGACAGTTCAGCTGGGATTTCCCCAACAGCCTTAAGCCAGTGAGTCTGTCACAGGCTCCCAGGGAATTTCAGTGGGCACCAACTCCAGCAGCCTCCTTTTGGAAACCCCACCCCCACCTTCTTCCCCCAGTGCAGCAGCAGGGAAAGGGTTACACAAACTCCTGGGAAAGCCTCCTTGAAATTTGACCCCATCAGGAAAGGAGCAGCAGTGGGGTCAGTCATGACTAACTCCAAGGATACATCTGAAGGGCCTGTGCAGTCGGTTAATACAGAGGTAAGGTTATTGAGTCATTAAAACGTAAGCCAGGGCAAGTCATTCTTAGATCCACTGGTTAGGAACTTCCCTGCCTCCCCAGAAACAATCCAGGGGAAGCAGAGACTGGGTGGACCATGCACTTACCTGCCAAAGGTACTGCTAGAGTAGCGATGATGATCAAAACTGACAGGACCTGGGACTAGGACTCAAGAGGGAAGCACATTTCCTGAGCTTATTAGACCTAGGACCTGAAAGAGACAGTCATGAGTGCTTCTGGGGAGCAGACTCATTAACAGTATCAGTGCCTGAGCCCCTGTCAGCAAATATCTATTGTGATTCCCAGGCTGCTGCCCTTCCCCTCTGGGTACAGACATTAGTCCTCTGACTGGGGGCTGTGGTTAAACACAATGATTAACTCACCCAGACCCAAATGACCCCACCAGCTTATGTAGCTGAATGGCCCTTAGGACAAGAAGATATCATTGGACCACTGAATTTCTCCCACAGGTCCTGCACAGACTCACAGAGCTACTACCCAGACCGGCTCTTGGCTTACCACTTGACCAGAGGAGTGAAGGGATGGGAATATGTCACACGCTCACCTTTTTTCTGTCCCCTGATGTTTGAGCAAAAGGAGGGTTAATACTTAGCTGATCAGCAAGTGCTCTGTCTGTACACCTAAGGGATGTTCCTGCAAATGTAGTAATAATATTAGGCAAAGTTCCTGAGGATCAATTCAAGTAGCCCACAATAGATCTGAAGATACTTTCCAAAGCAGGGTGAGGATGCTTACATCCATTTCAGAGGCTAAAATTACAGTAAAGGCAATAATTAGAGCCATGCAAATCTGTGGATATCGACAGATCAGGTTTGCAGATCCTGAATGGATGCGGATACAAATTTTGTATCTGCAGAGGGCTCTAGCAATAAACGAACATCCCATAGTTAGAAGAACTCAGGCATCCTGACTCATCCCTGTGTATTAACCATTAGACAGCTCTCTCTAAAAGAAAAGTTGCAAATGTGTGCTCTGACCACTAGCCCCCACTCCCCCAGCCCTGAGAAAAGAACTCAGGAGTCCTGGGGAACCATCCTTCTTTCAGAAAATAAATAAAATAAAAAAAAATTAAAACAGTAACTTTCCCACTGCAACATACAAACCAGCAACTGCTTTAGTAAAAGTCAAATTGTTTGTTCTCCAGTTCGTTCAGGATCCAGGCCAGGGCACCAGGAACAGCAGCATGATGGTGAACCAGCCACCCCGGCCTACCCGCACCCCCCTCCAGCCGCTTCAGTGCAATCACCCCCCGCCGGCCAACCGCGTCCCATGCGGGCCACCATCCCGGCCCACCCGGCGGCGGTAACTGACCCCGTGAGCTGTTGGGCGCCCGAGCGACCTTCCCGCTCCCGCGCCCGGTGCCCGACTCCCCCCCCAACGCGAATCAAGTTCTTGGCACCGGTCCGGCACCAGGACCCCCCCCGCCGCCGCCGCCTCACCTGAGCGAAGCGCTACGGGCTCGGGCTGTGGGCGCGCAGTCCGGGTCCGCCCCTAGAGCGAGGAGGCTCCGCAGGAAAACCGGAGCCGAACCGGCCGCCAGCGCGTCTCCACCGGCGGCAGCGCGGAGACGGGGAAAGCTACAAACCGGCGCTTTGCTCTGAATTCAAATAGCCCGGGCAGGACCAACCCCCTTCGCCCTTCCACTATTGACCAATCAGGGGCCGCCACTCTTTTCTTTTCTTTCTTTCTTTTTTTTTTTTTTGAAAAACGCGCTGCGGCCCATTGGCTGCGGGGGTTAAAAACCGTTAAGTGAGTCACGTGGGGGAGAGTTTAATAGACGTCACCTCGGGGCGTGGTCAAAGAGGAAGGGCGAACAGACGAAGCCTCGGACGGGCCTATGATTGGGTGGAAGACACTAGCGGGAGCCGCTGATTGGATGGGACGAATGCCGCAAGTAGCGTGAAGCCACGCCCCCTTCCCGTGGGCTGGGCAGCCCCAGGTGGAAGCCGAAAGCGAAAGGGAAAACGGAGGCAGCAGCGTTCAGCAAACGGCTTTTTAAAGCAGGTTGTGCAGCAGGGAGCCAATCACGTGCTCCGACGGCGGGAAATCAAATCAAATCAAAACAACCCCCCCCCGCAAAAAGCCCCCAAACAAGCACCGGAACACTTCGAACCCCACAGGACAGGGACCCAGAAATGAGCTGGGCAGGCCACATAACAACAGGACATTTTAAGGAAGGGGAAGTGCTGACAAAGGGCAGAAACTCCCTGGACTGGAGACAAGGGGATCACGAGGGCTGTGGGAGGTGGATGTGGGAATGTAGCTGTATAAAGGCAGCGCAACCCCCCTGCCACTTCCCCGCACCAAGAGTCGTTAAGCGACTGTTGTAGCTGAGTGGGAGATCCAGCCCCCCAGATACTAGGAGCGGGAAGGCAGGCCTGGGTGGGGGGGAAGAGACCCAGTCCCGGAGTGGGGGAGGGAGGGAGAAAGGGGTGTCCCCGGGGAGAGGGATGGCCTGGGGGGAGAGAGGGAGAAGGGCGGCCCCCGGGGGGCAGAGAGGGGTGGTCCCTGGGGTGGGGTCGGGAAGGAGGGAGGGAGAGAGGAGAGGAGCGGCTCTGGGGAGGGTGGGGCAGTGTCTGTGTCTTCTTGGGGTGGGGGGGGTGGTGAGGACACAGACTATGGGGCTGGGGCTGTATGTATGTGTCTGCTTGGGGTGGGGGGAAGGACGCAGACCCAGGGACTGTGTGTGGGTTGCAGGCTGAAGTAGGGTTACCATACATCCGGGTTTCCTCGGACATGTCCGGCTTTTGGGTCTTTAAATAGCCGTCCGGGGGGAATTTGTAAAAAGCTAAAAATGTCCGGGATTCCCCCCCGGACGGCTATTTAAAGACCCAGAAGCGGCTGACAGGGCAGCTGCGCCGGATTGAGCCTTTCACTTGGGGCCTCTCCGGCAGCAAATGCCCCTCCCCCGCTTCCCCCCTCACCTGCAGCTTCAGCACGGGGGCAGCGCTGCGCAGGGCATAGGCACCGATTGTAGCCAACGCCAGTGGGTGCTCACGCCCCCCCTGCTCCCGGCTCCGCCCCTTCTCTGCCCCCATTCCAATCCCTTCCCCAAATCCCGGGCCCCGCCTCCTCCCCCGGGCGCGCCGCTTCCCCCCCCCCCTTCGCCCCCCATGTACTGAAAAATGTTTGGAGGAGAAGAGGAGGCTCCAGACCTGCATCTCTTTCTCTATCTTTCTTCTTATTAGTGGCAAAACCATTCCTACTCAACCCCTCCCCTTTTTTCACAGCATTTATCTTTCTGGAGAGGGGAATCACTTCGAAATTTAATTTCCCTTGGGATGAGGTGAGGAAGATAAGCAGGAAGAAGCAGGATTTTTCTCTCCCTCTTCCCCAGGTGACGGGATTAAGGGCTCATCAGGGTCTGAAGAGCAAATAAACAATTTGATTTCTACTACACTAGTTGCTGGTTTGTATGCCGGTAGGAGAGTTACTGTTCCACTTTTCAGAGTAGCAGCCGTGTTAGTATGTATCCGCAAGAAGAACAGGAGTACTTGTGGCACCTTAGAGACTAAGAAATTTATTAAAGCATAAGCTTTCGTGGACTACAGCCCACTGTTCCACTTTGTGCCTGAAAGAAGGATGGTCTTTAGGACTCCTTTTCCCAGGGCTGGGGGAGTGAGGTCTAGTGGCCAGAGCACACATTTTAAACCCAGCTCTGGGAGAAAGCTGTATAAAGGTTAAAACAGAGGACTGAGTCAGGATGCCTGGGTTCTATTCCTAGGTTGGCTACTGACTGATGATGTGAACACATCAGGGTGTTGGTTATTGCCTCTGCCTTAATTTCATCCTCTCAGATGGATGTAAGCAGGCTTATTGTGCTCTGGGAAGAACGTGAGATCTATGGATAATAGGTTCTGTATAAGTGCAAAGAATTTGTACTTCATGATTAGCGTTTGCAAAGTCCTTGGAATGCCTTAGAGGGAGGGGGATGTGCTGTGTAATGCTGACATCTCGTGGAGATTTACAACATTGCCACAGAATGGTGATGCCCGAGGCAACACAGACACTTGCTGGATTACACTAGCAGGGCCGGCTCCAGACACCAGCTAAAGAAGCAGGTGCTTGGGGCGGCCAATACCAAGGGGCGGCCTGTCCAGGTCTTCAGTGACAATTCGGCGGCGGGTCCCTCAGTCCCTCTTGGAGCAAAGGACCCGCTGCCGAATTGCCACCGAAGAGTGGAGCGGCGCGATTGCGCTGCTGTGACTCTTTTTTTTTTTGGCAGCTTGGGGAGACAGAAAACCTGGAGCCGGCCCCGTACACTAGTAACTAACCATTAAGGACAGCTGTCTGGAGAGGCAATAATGGGGCAGAACAAGGCTCCAATATGGCTGGTGGGCTGTGCTGGTGGCTGTAGGCCCTGGGAGTGGAGCTAGGGCTGCAGATGCCTTGCAGAGCTCCGGCTGTCCTACAGACAAGCCCCTGCTGCCAGTGTAACTGTGGGCTCAGTATTGCCCATGAGCTCATCCTACAGACTAACCAATGGAGTTAGCAGGAAAGGCGTGAAAATGCGAGTAAGGGCCGCAGAGTGGGGCAGCGGCAGAATTCTGAGTTTTACAGTCTCCATTTGGGGACTTCAGTGTAAAAGGGGAAAATGTTCCGTACTGTCCTTCACCAGATCCCCACAGAATCCGTACTTAGCACATACAGCGTTCTTCAATGGGGCCACCACAATCACCAGCAAGGGCCTAGCAACATGCCTCAGAACTAGGCCCCTGGGTGATTGATTCCACCTCCCTGGCAGTGGGACTCCTCTGTTTTCAAGTCTCAAAGAAGCCTCTGACCCCCTGGGCAGCTTCTCTCAGTGGATATCAAAGGGCATGAAGGCAGTCGTAGATGTTAAGGCCACTAGGCATCATTGTGTTAGTCTTGTTTGACCTCGTGCATAATGCAGACCTGAGAATTTCACCCAGTGATGTAAGCATCCAGTCTTGATGGAAAGTGATGGAAAATCTGCTGCATCCCCTTGGGAACTGTTCTAAGGGGTAACTCCCCTCACTTACAAACTTGCACCTTATTTCCAGTTTGTATTTTTCTGGCATCGACTCCTAGTCACTGCATCTTGTTCTGCCTTTGTCTGCTAGGTTCAGCAGCCCTCTAGTATTAGACGTTTTCTTCCTCGGGGGGTACATACGGGCCCTGAGCAAGTGGCTTATCTGCCAACAGACCAGGTTGGGGCAGGATTTGGGCCTAGTGGTCGGAGCAGGAATCCGAGCCAAGGGTCAGGGCCGAAGTCAGAGTCCAAATGCCCGAGCCAAGGGTTGAGGCAGAGTCTGAGCCGAGGGCTGGAACCGGATCACGGGAAGGCAGGCGCAGGGCTGTTTCTGAGGCAGGGGCAAGGCTGGAACAGGATGGGAACAAGGCTGAGCATAGGGAGGATCTGAGCTGGAGCAGAGCTGGAGCAGGGGTTGCAGAGAGTCTGTAACTGGCCGGCTGGCTTCCTTAGCCAATCAGGCGGCCTAACTTTAGGGCCTCAGAAGTACTGGGCAGGTGCAGCTGAGGGAATTACTCCTGACAGTACTGCGCTCTTCCCCCCGCCCCGCCCCCGGTCAGGGGAGTTTTTTAGGTGCCCCCAGGCCTGGTTTCTCCTGGTGGTCTCTGAAATGCCTGCAACAGATGTGGGGCATGGATCTGATTGGCTGGTTCCCAGGATGGCTCGTCTGGGCCATCACCCCCCAGCCTCCTCCAGGGCAGAGCCTCCTTCCCGACCTCCTGTGGGGCTTCCCTCCCCTCCCTGCTCCCCCATGTCTGCCAGGGCAGAGCCTCCTTCACGACCTCCTGTGGGGCTTCCCTCCCCTCCCTGCTCCCCCATGTCTGCCAGGGCAGAGCCTCCTTCCCGACCTCCTGTAGGGCTTCCCTCCCCTCCCTGCTCCCCCATGTCTGCCAGGGCAGAGCTCCCCTTGCTGCCCCCTGTGGGGCCTCCCTCTTCTCCTTTGCTTCCCCCACAGTTACTGCCAGCAGAGCAATCGAGGCTGAGAGTTCAACTGGGCTGCGGGGCAGAGGCTGGTGCCAGAGTGGACTGGTTTAAATCAGCAAATGGGAAGCCTCTGGTTAAATCATTGATGTTAATCCCCTTTTCCATTTGTACTTCAGTTATTTGCTAAAGAAAGGTGCCTCCTCAGTGGCTGCTGTAACCATTAAAACATGTGGATTTATAACTGAATAGAGCCTTTCCACTAGATTCGGTGCATTGTCTTGTTACCTAGCAGGGTGATACTACACTATGGCTATAGACAACTATTGGAGCAACCACATAGCTTAATATTTTCAGATTCTTATTAATGGGACATGTTTAGTATGTTAGACAGTGATGAATGAGATATTGCTTATTTACTAGATAATTAACGTTTTTGTTGGTGACGTGTATCAAGCCGCATTAGGATGGTAAGTGGAATTTAATTAAATAAAGCCGCAGATAACATTTATTTATTAAACAATCTTGCAGCCCGTAGGGTAGCCCCTGGGTCCCTCAGAGGATTGAGCCCTTTATACTGTCCACGGCCTATTGTGCCAGATGTATAAAGCTCGACATCCAGAGGTAGATGTTTGTCCCCTGACTTATTAATTTATATAGAAAAGCAGCCTTAACTCAAAGTTTTTGATATAGGCTTATGGATTCAGCAAATTGTTTTTTAATTAAATCTTTTCAGAGATTATAATACGGGAACAGGCCGGGCAGAGACACTGAGGCATGTCCAGACGGGGCCACACTTTCAATGGTGGATGGAACTGATCAAACTCCGGTGTGTGGACACTGCAGGAAACGGAGTGTGGCAATGAGCTCCCATGGATCAGGTACCCAGCTTGTCCCTGCTACTTGTACTTTGTGTGCCTGGCTGTAGCCACAGGTCTTGCAGCGGGCAGGGGCTGTTACCCCTCTGAAATCCTGGACCCCATCTCCCTCTGGCCAACTTCACTTTTGCGTTCCCTCTCTGTGTGAAATGTGTGAGAGGCACACGCCCGACACCGTCACACAGAGGCAGGGCCCTGGGCGTGCATGAAAGTGAGCCCATGTCTGGGGGTGGCAGGTAATGCATCTGTTCCTGTGGGTTTTGCCGGTGCAGCTGCTGTGCCTGCCAAGCGTGAAGAGGGGATGTTGAGATCTCCAAATGTCACAGCTACTGGAGCTGGGAGCCTCATCTCCCCTGGGGGCGGCCAGGGGCCATTCCCCTGAGTAACAGTGTCTGTGTCTCACCGTCACTAACTGAAATCCCCTCTTTGTCCTGAGAATCAAGACTTCAAAGGAAACTTGCTTCTTCAGACAAGGAGGGTCAAGGATTGCAGGGAGTCAGAGATCAGACCCCCTGTGTGAACCCTGGAGCAGGGCCCAGAGAAGCCAGTCCTTAGTCTGGGGGGCGGGAGTTGCTTCGGACTCTGAGCACAGAGGCTCCTGTGTGGGGGGCAGGGAGGAGATTTAGAGTTTCTGTTCTACATCTGACCCCTTTGCTGCTCTGCCCTCATGTAACTGCACTTGAAGCTAGAGAAGGAGCCTGAGAGAACCTAGTGGGTCTGTCCCTGCCTGGCTCCCCTCGGGGTCTCCCAGGGACTCTTCTGTTGAATGCTGTGAGCCTGGTTGTATTGTAGCTGCAAATAGAAAAACCGAACCCCTTGTTTCTCCGACTCAGAGCACCTGGGAATCGCAATAGATATTTGCTGACAGCGGCTCAGGCGTGGATACGGTTAATGAGTCTGCTCCCCAGAAGCACTCATGGCTTTGTCTCTTTCAGGCCCTGGGTCTAACACGCTCAGGAAACGAGCTTCCCGTCAAGTCCTAGTCCCAGCTTCCTTCACCGTTTTGATCATCATCATCGTTACTCTAGCAGCACTTTTAGCAGGTAAGTGCTTGGTCCACCCAGGCTCTGCTCCCCTGGACTGTCTGTGGGGAGGCAGGGACGCTACTAACCAGTGACTCCAGTGGGTCTAGAATGGCTTGTCCTGGCTTCCCTGTTAGTGACCCAATAACCCTCCCTACCTCTGAGAATTCACCGACTGCACGGGCCCTTCAGATTTACCCTGGGTGTTAGGCCTGACTGACCGCACCGCTGCTCCTTCCCTGAAAGGGTTAAACTTCAGCAGGCTTTCCCAGGAGTTTGTGACCTGGTCCCTGCTGCTGCACTGCGGGAAAGAGGAGGGGGTGGGTTCTCCAAAAGGAGTCTGCGGGAGTTGGTGCCCATTGAAATCCCCTGGGAGCCTGTGACAGACTCGCTGGCTTGAGGCTGCAGGGGAAATCCCAGCTGAACTGTCTCTGGACAGGGTGACTTTGGCACGGACCTTTTTAACCCAGCTCAGCCCAGTCAGTGGTCCCCAAACTGTCTCAATCACGCCCCCCCTTACCCAGTCCATGCCCCCCCCAGCAGCCAGGGCCAGGGGTGAGTGGGGCAGGATGGAGGAGGGGGAGCCAGAGTAGGGGGGTGAGTGGGGCAGGACTGGGGAGCTGCTGGTATCTAGGGTGACCAGATGTCCCGATTTTATAGGGACAGTCCTGATTTTTGGGTCTTCTTCTTATATAGGCTAATTCACGTGGCTCCGAATACTCTGCACAGGCTTCTTATAAGCCCAGCATAAAATGCTCAGCACAGCGGTCAGGGGTGTAAGGAGCCTGCAGCGTGGATAGGAGGGATTCTCTCCCCTCATTCACTCAGATACAGAGTCAGGCTGGGGGTAGGGGACACAGTCTCTGACCCTGTGTTACTTGCTTCTCTGTCAGTGGAAAAATCCAAACCACCTGTGGGTGCTGCTGGGCCCGGCTGCCCGGACGGCTGGATCGGGTACCGAGGGAAATGCTATTATTTCTCAGAGACTGAAGGGAACTGGACCTACAGCCAGAGCCAGTGCTCTGCACTCAGCGCCTCCCTGGCTGGATCGACAGTGAGCAGGAAAAGGTGAGAGCGGCAGATGCTTTATCCAACTGACTGGGCCTGGCAGGGCTGGAATCGGGCTGGGCTCAGCCCCAGGGGTTCCAGAAACTGCCCGGTTGCCTCTCCTGAGAGTGTTTGTGGTGGCTGAATCCCAGGCCTGTCTGGAGCTGAGCTCACAGTCAGGATCACTCACTCCCAGCCCCCCTCCTCTTTCCCAGAGCCTCAGGCGGGAGGATCCCCCTCTCTAGGGCTGGGCCGGACTGGTCAGCTCCTGGCCAGTGGAGAACCTGCCTCTGAAGCCAGTGACTCAGTGGGGTGGGGGCTCCGTGTGCCTGCCGGGGGAAGCACTCAGGCTCTTGGGCTGTGCAGGGAGTGAGCTCTGCCCTTCCTCAGAGCAGCTCCTGCCTCTCTGGGGGTGGTGGTGGGGGTCGCTCTGTGCAAAGCTGCTGGGAAGGAGCCTGGCAAGGAGGGCAGAGGTGCCTGCAAAGCCCAGCAGCTGCCCAGCCCCAGAGGGGAGGGAGAAGGATGGGGCAGGGGCAGGTCTGTCCATGTAAACATGGATGTGGGGATGGAGACAGATGGGATAAAATGGCCTCTGAGCAGCCCCCAGCTCCTGCACGTGTCCCCAGGCTCCCAGCTGAGCAGGCCCCAGTCTGATGGGACGTCCAACAAACTGGGATTCTCAGCCAGCGATTGGTTCACTGGCTGAAGCTGCTGTCAGAGGAGCGGAGCTGCCAGCTCTGACCCCTACCAACCTACCAGGGGACTAGTGGAGGGGAGAACTCCTGCTGTTTCTGAGTCCTGTCTTCATGACCCACAGCTGGCTCGTTAGACTGGGCCTTGTTCTCACTCTCCCTCCAGCGTGGGCTGGCGTCATCGGACCCGGGGCTCTCAGCTGGCAAACTACGGGTGGCCCATCCGAACCTGAACTGCTGAGAAGGGGCCACACAGAGCCACAGGGGCAGTGAGCACCACAGCCAGGGGCCAAAACATAATCTGACTTGTCTTATTTTTCAGGATTTCCTGCTGCGCTATAAGAGCTTCCTCGACCGTTGGGTCGGCCTCCAGAGGGAGCCAGGCCAGCCCTGGACGTGGTCCAACGGCACCAAATTCGACAACCGGTGAGTCCCTTTCTGTAAGGCAGTCACGGCTCTCCCTGTCTGTCAGGGCAGGAGACCACGCCCCTTCGCTACCGTGCTTCCAGAGCACTTCGGCCCAGGGGAAAACTGGCTCACAGTTAGTGTCCCAGGCCTGCAGTCCAGCCGAGCAGCGATAAGTCTGTATGCCCGGGGCCCCCAGTCAGGGCGGGGCAGTGATCAGCTCAGCTAAGGGGCTCTGGCCGGCTGTCATGCAGAGCCACACAGCAGTTTAGGGGAGATGAGCTCTCTGGTAGGAGAGTCAGCAAACCATCTGGCATCCTAGTTCAGGCAGGTGCCAGACCAGTGCAGGTCTCCTGACCACAGAGTGGGGAGGCTGCCACCCCTGACAGTGGGGGGGTAGGGGGACACAGGCCCTCCCGCTCCACAGCATCCCAGCCCAGGGCCCTAACAGTGGCAGAGTGCTCTGCCACTGAGTCAGCGGGGAAATCTGACCACAAGCTGGCCGGCTTGCAATCAGTCACAGAGCCAAACCCTATTCAGCTTCCCTGGGCCCCTTCCTCCACTCCCAGTCCGGGTACCTGCATTCCGGGGCTGTCGTCGGTCTTGCTCGGGTAAAGGGCAGGCAGTAGCCCCAACAGCTCCTCGGTGTCCCCGGTGTCTGGCAGCTCTGACAGCCCTTCTGGGTCTCTGGCACAGGAACAGCCTCCATCAGGTCCAGGCTCCAGGAGCAGGGGAGAGACATCCTGTTCCTCCGGCAGCTCTGCCCCAACTGAGCTCGTGGGCCGGCCTTTTATAGTTCCTGTTTCTGCCCCGCCCCTCTGCTTCCGGCGGGGTGGCCGCAGGTATCCCGGTTCTGCCCACCGGGGGGCGGTCGTGGCTCTCTCTCCGCCCATCAACCCCTCGCTACAGCGTCCCTCCAGTAACATTTTCTGGGTTAGATCACAGGTGCCTGCCGTGCTGCCAAAAGACGAAGACTATATTTAACCAAGGTTGTTTGGGGGTGTGGGAATGTGTCTGGGCTCTTCTTGGTATTTGGTTTTCATGGACTAAAACCAATATTCCAGCAGCATTTGAGTCCCCCGCGCAGTGTTATCATTGTTTGTAATTTGTAGTAACGTAGAGACCGTAGACCAGGGCCCCATAGTGCCAGGCGCTGTACGATCACAGAACAGAAAGATGGTCCCTGCCCCACGGGGTTTACAATGCAGTGCAGTTCTGGGCACAAGGGAGGTTGCCGGAGGAGACACTAACCTGAGCTCCCCCGTCCCCATTGGCCTGTCTGGGTGGAAGTTAGACTCCCTAAGCCCACTCTGAGGAGTGGTGTGCGGAGAAGAACAGGGTCCTTCACTGTTGGGGTAATTTGAGCGTCTCTCCGTGGGAAGGCTGTAGGGAGAAATCTCATTTCATTACTAACAGTCTGTCCTGACAGCCCATTGGGTTTGAAACAGGCCCCCAGCCTCTCTGACAGTCCCCCAGCAGCCTGGGGAGGATTGTATCAAACTCTTCTCCGCAGAGAGCTGCTGCTGCTCGCTGCCATGGGAGAGGCCTGTGGATTCTCTCCCCTCTGGGCCGAATGGGCCTGGAGAGAAAGTTGGGGCGAGGGGAGAGCGTCAGGCAAAGCTGAGCCGTGCGCAAGTCGTGCCTAATATCTACCAGCACAAAGACATCACTGGAAGCCCCAGCTGTCGTCTTTCAGCCCCACCCGCTTTCTCCTCTCCCTGCCCTGCAATAGCCACTACCTGTGTTTCCTACACCTTTACTTGTCCCCTTGTGCCAGGGAGGAGTCTAAAGTCCGTCCGATGCCTCTGAGTGCAGCTGCTCCTCTGGCTGCCCCGCCCTGTGGCGGCGTCTCCCCCTGTCTGTGACTGATGGGCAATGCCCAGCCCCGCCCTGACTCCCACCCCTGGGGTCTGTGTTGCAGGTTTCCGATAAGAGGAGGCGGTGACTGTGCTTTTCTGGTGGCTGAGGGCTGGTTCGGCAGCTCGTGGTGCAGCACAGGGAGACACTGGATCTGCAGCAAACCCGATGCCTGTACAATGGGGAAGGGACGTGCTGTGGAGTCAAAACTTGGAGACTCTTAGGAATGAGGCCTGGAAAAGCTTTATTGGGGGCACACCTTCCACTACCTGTAGATGAAGGAGGCTGGGTCTGTCTTCTTTACAGACTCTCCCCAGGGCTTCCCTTGGGGAAATAGATCTCTGGAGTTAGATTCTTTGGGGCTAGATGATATTTTCCCTCAGTTGAATGCCATTAGTTTGAGTTCTCTGCTCCCACCTGGGTTCTGTTTAACTAGCCTCTTCCCTCCTTGGGGTTCTCCCCTCTCAGATCGTGGCCCAGCACAGAGGTTCCCAAATGGGTACAGGAGCTCGTTGGAAGGGACACACAGTAACAAGCTGACCCCTTTAAATGAAGCTGGTCCAGTGCCCCTGTGCTAGAACAGGTGACCCACGTTTGGCCGGTTAAGGGGGCAGGGCAGCGCTTGGAGCTATAGAGGGTCAGGGAGAATCAGTGAGGAGGAAGAAGTCCTTGAAGGAAGTTACAGGATGTTGCTAGGGGAAGGCTGAAGGCAGGGGAGTGGCAGATGAATTTACCCACTGATGTCCCCATGTTGGAGCCAGAGAGAGCTGAGGGCCAGGGGAGCAGTGGCAGGGCCGATCTGCTAGAGATGAAAGGCAACAGAACAGGGCGAGTGCTGGATATTTCCCTGGTGAGGATGAACTCCCAGGGGAGAGGCTGTGTGGGTTACTGCTGGGAAGAGTAGGTTTGCGCTCCAGCTGGGGTAGCTGACATGGCAGAAGGACAGGAGAGGACCAAAGAAGAGCCCAGACGTGGTGGAAGACACTGGCATGTGCTCCACTGATGGACCAGATGTCACGGGATTTTAAGGACTATATGTGCTGGGGGTGATAAATGGACTATGGTTTGGAACCCTGCCGTGGACTATTTGCACCAGGTTTTAGTAATAAACTGAGCCCAGGGATGGGTCTCATCTGGGTGGATAAGCTGTGACTTAAAAAAAGTCTGAAAAGATCAAATTTTGATTATTTAAATTAAAACAGGTTTATTTATTTATTTATTTTTACAAATAAACCTGTGTTGAAGCCTAACCATGTCTCTTACAATAACACTGGAGGGGGCTGCACAAAGCTCCACAGGACAGCGGGTGGCCATTATTATTTCTTTCACTATGGGCTGAAGAAGTTTCACCAAACACTGACTCTTACAGTCACCCTCAGTGGCCACGTTGGCATCGGCTCGCTCCGAGGCTTGGAGCAGCTGGGATCCTCATCCTGGTAGTTGCTATGATAGTGATGGGCGTTTGGAGTAAGTAGTTCAAAATTAATTTGTGCAAAATGCTACACTCTAAAATCCCCCCCCCATTTCCATGGTGATTCCATTTCTGATTCCAACGCTCTTGTTAATAATATCCTGGGCACTTCATGATTACCACAAAGGGGAAAATATTACAGAACAGCGTGGTGCTAGAGCTTGATACAGAGACCCCAGGTGATCCAGCTCTCACAATTTCTCTGTTCTGTGTGGGGGAAAAGCAGAAAGCACCTTATGCTACGTAATGAACGAGATTCTCTCCCAGTTTTGTTCTATCTCTCTGGCCCGGTTCTGAATTTGATAGCGACAGTATGTAATGGTTTCTTACACACACGCCCTCATTCTCAGTTTGCTGATCCCTAAGTAGTACTTGCAGTTCATGCTCCTGCTGTTCTGAAGTTTCTCAGATCAAAGGATGTCTGAATTCACTGGAGAACAAGGGTACCAGGGAAAGAATCACCCATCAATGCAACAGCAGCACTGGCCTAAAAGATTTCCATTTTCACTTGAAACAATTTGTGTGTGAATCAGCTTACAGCACCTCAACAGGTAACCTCAGCGCCTTCTCTCTCAGCAGTTTGCTGCAGTGCAGTGACATCTAGTGGTCACTTAGGGTAACTCAGTGCAGGACACAAACCACTTCAATAAGTGCAATAAATATCCGATTCCTTTAAAAGCTGCAGAGAAGGCACCTAACTCAAGCAGCAACAATCTGCCCTCTGGAATTTGCAATAATTAGCATTTGTTTAAAATTAACATTCCAGAATTGCAGTATCTTTATAGAAGACATGTAAGAAAATATTTTACATTAAAAAGTTCCTTAAAGAAATCTATCCCTGAAGTGTAGCCTGCGGATGTGAGAATCGGCAGTCAGTGACCAGGGGCAGCACAAGTTTTGGCAGGGAGGGGAAAGAGGAACCTCCTGGAAAAAAATAAAATAAAAGTGTTTAAGCTGTCTCTAGGGCCACATTTTCACAAAAAGAGGTTTCTAGGCACAAATTCAGAGTCTGGATTTGCATGAAGACATCCACAGTCTGTATCTCACAGGGCAGCACAGCTGCAGTGCTGGCTGTAGATAGCGAAGGTGGACAGAGCTTGAAAGTGCCAACACTATGTAGAACCCAACACCCCAAGGCCAAACCCAACCTATGGCACCCAAGGGTTGCAGGGAGGCTGTCTGCAAGAAGGAACGTGTTGCGGTTTGTGGATACAGCAAGGAGCCATGTCCCAGTCTGAAGGGTGCAAACCCCAGAAGGGCAAGAAATCATGAAAGGCACCAGGGAGCAACTGGAGCCAATGGGATGAATTGAGCAAGGGGGGGAATTTCAGGCTGGTGCTGAAGAGACGATCCCCAGCAGTGAGGAAGTCTGAGAATCTGGGAAATTACAACCCCTGCAGTCTCTTTGGGGACCAGTGTGTCAAATTTACGAATGGCTTCTCGATGCTTGTGTTCTACTCCATGGGGGAGGGTGACCACAGCTGTAGTCACACTATTGTAATATAATATTCACACCCCTACACACTAGTGTAATAATCTTTATACAAAATACACTTTTTAAAGGCATCATCTGAAAACTAATAACTTGCTGGTCAATAATATCATGGGGAAATGGATGTAGCAACATTATATGTAAAGTTATGAATTCCCCCTAAATGATATTGGTAGCACACATTCTGACACATATAGCCCTGCTTAGGAAGAACTGGTCAAGCAGATCGTAAACAAAGGAATGTGTGTTTCCCTCAGTTTACATATACGTTGTAAACAGGGTCCTCAGACAGCGAGAGAGGGAAGACAGGAGACAGGGAAAATCTGCATTTCAGGAAACAGGAGAGAAGAAACAGCACAGAACTTTTCACCACCAGACATCATGTCGCCTTCTTTACTGTTTGAATAAACTTTGCTTTGAGAGGGTGTCCTTCAGGAAACTGTATCTCAAAGGGGGACTGGACTATAAAAGTGAGGGGCAAGAACACCCCACGTTCCCTCTCCCTACCCAGCGCTCTTTTTTCACCTAAGATAAGAAAAGAAAAAGATGTTGGACTTTGGGAGCAGATCCTGGCTTGAGAGTTTGGTCAGCAACGTTACTGTGAACCTGTGGTGAGGGACGTCACCTTGAACCAAGTCTAGGTTGTTTAGTGTAGAAAATGTTTTATCTTTAGTGTTCTTGCAACCATTCCTGACTTTATGCCTCATTACTTGTACTACTTAAAATCTCTCTCTGTAGTTAAATAAACTTGTTTTAGTCTTTAATTACAACTAATTCAGTGCTGTGAGTTGTTTGGGTAACTCCATTTAATGTAGCAGACTGTGTATATTGCTCCTCTGTGAGGGGCAATGGACATAGTAGATCTGGGCTGTCCAGGAGAGGGCTGGACAGTGCAGAACATGTTCTGGGGGAAAGTCCAGGACTGGGAGTGTGTTGGGGTTACCCTGCAAGTAATGATCAAGGCTGCTGGAAGCCAGAGTGTGGCTAGTGCTTGCTGACAGGCTGCTGGACCAGGGCTGTGGCTATCCACAGCCACCCAGGGTGTGACCTGCAGGCTGTTTGGCCCAGGTTGGGAGCTTCTGCACAGGATCGTGAGGCACGCCAGGCTGCAGGGCAAGCGGTGACACAGCCTCTCCCTGGTTGGGATCGCACCCTGGAACGTTTGATTCCCACACACTGGCTCACAGGGGGTTTTCTAGAGACTGAGACAGAACTTAGGACACACAAATGCTGAGTTGAAACAGATTCACAACCTTCATTTTGATTCAAACAAACAGGACCTGCTCTAGGCAGAGGGGGGGATCCCAACCCCACAGGGAGGGCCTGGAAGGGTCGCTGGCTACTAGACTCCCCTTTGGGAGAGGGATGATTTCTGGTGTGTTTAGTGTGTGGGAACTTTTAGTGATTTTTATACATTTTCTCCTTAATGCTTTTGCCCTAAAATAAATGTATCAGCTGAGGAAGGGCCGTGTGCTGGCTTGTAACAGCTGGAACATGCTGGGCATTGCGCTCAGAGCAGAAGCAAGGTGCAGGTGCTGGCTTGCAGACAGACTGGCTTGCTGGGGATACCCAGCGTATAGAAGGGCCCAGTGAGGGAGTGGGACGGAGTCTCTGCCCAGAGACAGGGGGTGGCTGGAGACTCGAGCCCTCACTTGATGGAGGTGGGATAGAGATCCAGTTACCCTGAAACGGTGACAGTCTCCCCGAGAGAAGGGTCACAAACCGCAGCACTAGGGTAATTGACAACTAGGACCAGACAAAACCCTGGTGGCAGACTAACAAACAAGGAAACAGGCTGCAGCGTGTGGGGGCCATGGAGGGGACTAGAACAAGGCTTTGTTACATCTGGTTTCTGTTAGGGAGTTTATTCCTTCACCCTCTCACTTCCCTGGTCCTTCTGGCATGAACAGAGAGCAACAATACCCAAAAGTCCAAAAGCGCAAACAATTCGATGTTTATTGGGGTGAACTTCCAACAAGCATGATTCCAGTTTCCTTCCTTAGTGTCCCCCTTCCCAGCTCTGACACCACAGAGCCTTGCCTATGTCCCTGTTCCCATTCCCCTCCTTAACAAAACATGATCCCAATTCCCCCAATCCCTGTTCCCATTTCCCCCCCTACTTCCTGATTGCAGGCTATATAGTAAAACTTGAGTTCTGCTTAGCTATACCTTAACCAGTCATTTTACTGAAATTTAACTAACCAATCCTAACATACTGTAACATGATTAACCAATTATATCCCACCACCTTAATTAGTTTACACCCAGCAAAATTATACAGCAGACAGAAACAATTACAGAACCAGACAGAGACCATGCAAATAAAAATTCAAAATAATACAGAAGTGAGGATTTCACAACTGCATCTATACAGATGTAAGGGTTTTCCAGCTGTGTCTATTGATAAGTGAGTTCTTACCAGACAGAAAACTATCAAACTAAATTTCCTTCTACATCTTCTAGGCTCTTCCCTTTCTCTGGAGGTGATAGGAATATCAGGACAGGATTGTATTCCTAACAGCCCAATAGCACCTTATTTCCATGTGACACGTTTGGAATGTGAGGATGTGACCATACACTTCCCAGTTTATGGCTGCCTCTGCTGCTTAGCCGACAGCCTTAGCCTAAGAACCAGGCCTCAGACTGTCACAGTAAGAGAAGGCCCTTACACATACAGAGAGTGATTTTGATTCTTTCTTTTATACCTCTATAACTAGCTAAGTGATAAGAATACACCTAAATTCTTAAAGTATAGGCCAGACAGGCTTGAATATCTATATCCTAACAAGAGTATTTGTGGCACCTTAGAGACTAACACATTTATTAGAGCATTGCTTTAGGTTGGGGGGGTTGTCTGTAAGCGAGGACAGGTCTGTCTCCCAAGATCTGTGGGTATGTCTACACTACGAAATTAGGTTGAATTTATAGAAGCTGGTTTTATAGAAATCGGTTGTATACAGCCAATTGTGTGTGTCCCCACATAAAATGCTCTAAGTGCTCTAGTCGGCGGACCGTGTCCACAGTACCGAGGCTAGCGTCGACTTCCGGAGCATTGCACTATGGGTAGCTATCCCACAGTTCCCGCAGTCTCCGCCGCCCATTGGAATTCTGGGTTGAGATCCCAATGCCCGGATGATGCAAAACAGTGTCACGGGGTGTTCTGGGTACATGTCGTCAGGCCCCTCCCCCTCCGTCAGAGCACTGGCAGACAATAGATTCGCGCCTTTTTACCTAGGTTACCTGTGCAGACAACATACCACGGCAAGCATGGAGCTCGCTCAGATCAGCTCACCGTCACCATATGTCCTCTGGGTGCCGGCAGACATGGTACTGCATTGCTACACAGCAGCAGCAGCTAACTACCTTTTGGTGGTAGATGGTGCAGCATGAGTGGTAGCCGTGGGGCTGGCAGCCGTAGGGCTGCATTGCACCAGCCCCTTGCCTTTTGGTAGAAGATGGTATATTACGATTGGTATCCATTGTTGTCGTACTGCAGTGGCTGTTAATCATGGGCACCTAGGCAGACATGCAACTGTCTCGATGATGATGGCTATCAGTCGTAGTATGCTATTTTCTGCTAAGCACCCAGAAGAGGCCGAGGGCGATCTGGATGCTGGCAGACGTGGGGCTGCATTGGTACACAGCAGCAGCCCCTTGCCTTTTGGTAGAAGATGGTATATTATGACTGGTATCTGTCGTTGTACTGCAGTGGCTATCACTCATGCTGCACTGTCGGCTGCCAGCTTAAGATGTAAAAAATAGATTTGTTCTGTATTCATTTGCTTCCCCCTCCCTCCATGAAATCAACGGCCTGCTAAGCCCAGGGTTTTCAGTTTAATCTTTGGGGGGACCATTCTGTGTGACAGTTGTTTGTGTTTCTCCCTGATGCACAGCCACCTTTGTTGATTTTAATTCCCTGTACCTGTACGCCATGTCATCGTGTATCTGACGGCCCTCCCTCCCTCCTTCCCCTGGTCTGTCAGATACTAGTTTTGCGCCTTTTTTCTGACCAGGCGCCATAGCTAGCACTGGGATCATGGAGCCCGCTCAGATCACCGCGGCAATTATGAGCACTATGAACACCACGCGCATTGTCCTGGAGTATATGCAGAGCCAGGACATGCCAAAGCGAAACCAGGACCAGCCGAGGAGGCGATTGCAGCGCGGCGACGAGAGTGATGAGGAAATT